TTGATTCATTGATCGGGCATTGGGAAAAGCATATATGGACATCGAAAATCGCAATTTGGACGGCAGAGTGGAAGAATATGACGACTGTCGGTCGAAGCTGCTACTGCTTAACCCGAGATGTGAGGCATCTTATTGCCTTCAACATAGATAGGGAGAGAGAGAGGGAATCCGGTCATCATTCATACTCCGATTCGCCCGAGGGTGACGATGATGCTTCACAGGAGCCTCAATGCAAATGCAAAATCCTGGAGTGGGACGATCGGTCTCGCTTGCATGGACACGAACGCACAGGTCTGGGTTCTGGAGAAGAGAAGAAGTGGGAGCAGGTGCTGAACATTCAAATAGGAGCAGTACAGCACCATCACTTGAGGTCTCAAGGTCCAATCCTTTTGCTAGGGAACATATTTACCATGGATTTATAGGATAAATTCTTAAGATATGATATGAAAATCAAAAAATTTGTGGTGTTAAGGAAAAGTGAAGGCATCAAGGAGAGCAACTTCACAGCTTACAAGCCTTCTTTCTTCTAATGGGATTATGGGTGAAGTTCAAACTAAAAGAGAGAGAAAACAGTGGCAGCTTGAGGGATGCTGATCAGGTGAATAATTTTGTGATATTCGTTTTCTTTTGGCCTTTTTTTATTATTGCTTTAATTGCTACTGTTTTTTTGGATCCTCTTGGGGTTCACATTATGTGGCTAGACCCTTTTCCAACAACCAAGTTTCTAAGGTTCAAAAAATATATGAAAGTTTATGTCCAATGTTTTCCATGTTAATTGTGAATTCGTTTTTCTTACTGTTTTGCATGGTAATTTAGAAAATATAAGATTCTCCCACAGGTCAAAAGACTATCTAGGAGTATCTTTAGGGTGCAATTTCCTCTAGCTCAAAAAATAAAAAATACAATGAAAACATCCTATTTTGTTGTTGGAATTTAAAAATAGTCCCTTATATTTTATAGAGTAATATAGCCTATATATTATTACGCGAAGATAAGGCTTAGATACATATGGCAAGAATAAGAAAGAATCTTATGCCAAAGGAGAATTTAGGGCATTTGAAAGCCGAGGTTAAGAGAGGGATGAATAAGAAAGAACCCTATGCCAAGGTTAAGAGGTGAATATATGTTGTAAACAGAAAAAAAAAAAAAAAAAGATTCGAGTGGATACATGTCACAAAAATAAAAAGAGAGCTATCCACTATCTAGGGACATAAATAAAAAGGGAGAACAAAAGGAGAGAGAGATTAAAATTCAAGAGGGACATATAGGTGTGTGGAGATAAGATAGAGAATATCTCTTTCTTGCTCATGATAGACCCATTGATTTCCATGGTAATCCTAAAAAACCATCTTTTTAGCAAGGGTTAAAAAAGGTGCTTATGTCCCTATCTTTAAAAACCTATCATGCCTCCGGAAGAGTTGAAAAGGTGCGTGTTCCCTTCTTAAAACCTACCCCTTGCGTGTCCGTGTACGTGTCCGTGTCCGTGTCCCTTAGCAATAATAGTTTTTAATCTCCCTCGCTTTCTCTCTCTTTGCTCATCCTCTCTCTACTATCACTCATTTTCTCCCTACATTCAAATTTTTATGCTTTAAAAGATGGAAAAAGTTTAAACAAGTGCAAGGTTCTACATAATCAAATTAGGGCGCACCTCAATATGTAATGGTTTTATATTATCAATAGCTAATTTTCTAAATAATTTAACTTACTGAATATATGAATTATATTGGTTTCACAACACCTCACTATATAAATTTTCCTTCAACTTAATTTTATTTTTTATATCATAAAGTCTAATGATCATTATGTTATAGTTATTTTTCTTTTTCTTTTTAATATTTATTAATTAAAATTTGTATTTTTTATTTATCCATTAAATGTTTAATGCTCTCGTCTCACATGCAAAGCACGTGCTTTTTTTTTTACTAGTGTTATGCTTAAGTCCCATTTTACCTGGATTAAGCTCAAACATAAAATTAAATGGGACTACTTTTAAGTTATGATAATAAAATGGGAGTTCTTTCATGATGGTTCATAAAATAACATCTCGAATTGACTGAGACTATCCAATTTTTGGATTGTAAGATTTGAGTAATTAAAAACCCAAGGGAGTAAGTGTACAGTGTGCTCCGGCACAAGCACACAATACATGCTCCATGGATAATTTGGACTGAGTGTGCACCCGTACAACCACTTCCTTTTATTTTGTGGCATTTGGCCAAACCCCAAGTTCTCTTCTTCGCATTAGACAGGATAAATAAAGACTTCCGAGAGATTTAATTAAACTCTTATTAAAATCGAAGAATCATAATTACACATGAATGAGTGGTGTTTACGAATGTGTACACCACAAAAGCCATGTCTCACGTGGGAGATACATGGAGAAGAATACATGATAAACTTGATTTTTACCTTTTATACAATCAGGTTACAATTATTTATAACCATTCAATATAAAATCTGATAGCTAGAGTGTATCATAAAGTTCGAAAAAAAAAAATTTTGAACTTTGAGCTTGATCAATGAAATAAATATTGCCATCCAATTTCACATCTAATGGTCAAGATTAATTGTGATCACCTTGTACCAAAGGTAAATAATCTCATTGTATACTTTCTTTTTTAAAAAAAAAATGTGACCGCCATTATTATGGGTACAATTTGTGAGAGGTGTCAATTTTAAACAATCAAATTAAAGTGCAACTCTAAACGCATTTTTGTTGCTGGAATCCGTACAATAGTTTGAAAATCTATTTTAACGCCATCTTATGAAGTTTAAAATTTAAAAAGTAGTGTAGTTCATGTAGATCTATAAATACTTAAAAATGTTGTAAATAGATGATCCAAATAACATACTATAAGATGAACTATTTTTGGATTTGAAATTCTTTGCTTTTGTTTTTCATGCTTCATTTATCTTGAGGTTAAGATAATCAATTTGGAAAGTTTTTCAACATCCAAACAACTTTTCTCTGTGGGATTTTGAGGTACACCTTATATTTATAATATAAAGTTCACACTTTATAAAAACTTTTTTCTTATATTGTATCATTAGTACGATAAGTTATGGTCATGGTAATTCAATGGTCACAAGGGTCACCATCCAACCAACAGCTTGGACGGTGATGGAAAGTTAAATCACTGTTCAGTGATGGAACAGCCATGAGTCTAATGAACATATCGTTAGCATGACCATACGGATCACTCTTTACCTTCCCTCTGATACATCGGTAGGGTGTCCGCATGGTGATAGTTTAGACATTCAGCTTGCAAAAAGACCATCGAAGCCCGATTGCATTCTCTATCTTACACACCATTTGCATAGGTTTCCTGGTCCAGAAACCCAAATTTAGGGTTGCTCTTTCAAAATCGATTGTTTTCTTCAAATTTAGAGCATCGCCTGCATCGGATAGGAATCAATGGGCTTGCCTTCAAGCTTTGGCCCCAAAATAATTTGCTGCAAATCACCCATTCTCTTCCACTAATTGGGTAACCGATTGAAATCGAGAATCACTGATTTTTGAAAAATTATGCAGTGGTCTCAAGTAACCAAGGGAAAAACACTGCACACCCATCTCTGTAACTGCAATTCCAAATAAACATTCAGCTCCATAGAAAACCCATGGATCCCTTCCAATGTAAATGAGAAAGACGAGTAACTCCTGCCTACATTATTCATTGATCAAATTCTAATATTTTATTTATTTAATTTAATGACCACATCACCCCATACAATTTCCCTCCTGATGTTTCCTCCCCCTTCTTTTCTTTTTCCACCTGGGCTCTCATTCTTCTCAATTATCCCTTGATTTTGATTAACAATCTCTCGAACAAAGCCCCGTTACGATTATTTTTCAGTGATGCACACGGTCTATATAGTTTTTTTTTTTTTTTTAAGCTTTTCTTAGCCTCTTTGACGAAATCAAAAGATAAAAAATTTGCAACGTTCTAAGGATCGAGATCCAAAATTTTAAAAAATGAGATAGGTAGAAGATCCCTTGGGATCTTAGGATCGAGCTTCCAAAACTGATTGCCTACCAAAGCAGATTGTGTGTGGAGCGTACTTAATCCGGCAGAGAACCAAGTAGGACTTGAGCAGAAGCGCATAAATCCAGTGTAGGAAAAATCAAACTGGAACAGTTAACCAGCCAAGGGGGAGAACACGGATACTCAGTACCAACCGGTAAACCAGTTGGTTCAATCGCCTAACCAGAAAAGTCCAGAGCGATAAAAAAAAATGTTAAAAAAACTGAAACAAACGCAAAAAAAAAAAAAAAATCTAATAAAATATAAAAAGTATATTTAAAACATAGTTAACCAAAACACATTCAAATGAAGCTGAAATGAAATAAATGAACTTTAAAAAATCAATTTGTGCCCAATAGTATTTTTTGAAATTTTTTAAAAAAGATAGAAAAAATATAAAAATAAGTATTAAAAGGCCAAAACAATTTCCAATCTT